ACCTTAAACTTTAAAGGATGATACCAAAACAACACCTAATAACCTAACATGTAAACATAAACTATTTCTTTGCAGATCCACTTTATGTAAATATTCTTTCTTAGTCAGAAGTTTTATAATGACAGAAGGCAAAAAGAAATATGCCTTACAGTTAATTGTCAAAGAATAAAGTTCTAATAACAGGGCAGCATTAAAAAAAATTTGAATACTTACTTAATACTACGAATGACATCTAAAACAAGCGAAATCAATCTCCACATGCAAGTCCACACACACTAACTCTCAAAACATAAACAGGCAGGGAAGATGATGGTTCCTCAGTATGTATTACTAGAAAAATCTTAAGATGCCTGAACTCATAGATATTTAATGCTGGCTCTTCTTATTTTGAAATATTTATTCAAGCCTCTGTATGTCTGGTGCATAGAAATGTCACGCTGGCGCCTACTTGAACTCTGGAATTGTTTTTTAAATCCTTATCAGTATGAGTTTTCTATAGATTAAGGACACATTTTGTCAGTGATGGGGAAAATGCGCATTTTTCGCTTCACACAGCTACCTTATTTCCTCTGACTTTCAAAACTGTATAATTACTATTACCACTCAGTGGCAAACAGGAATAAATCAAATTGTGCCTTCGACAAGAGGAGCTAAATTATATTACAAGATACCTGGGGGAGCACCTCTGAGTTTATTACAGTGAAGTTAAATCTACTGCCCTCCACAAATCTTTGGCAATAAAATTAGGTAAAAGATTGGTTCATTCGCCGTAGAAATATTACAGATTTGAGGACTGGGAGTTGGGTGAGGTGGGGGCAAGGATAAAAGCAATGCAGCCCATCCTCAAACCTGTGGTTTCAATCGCATCCAGATCAACAGAGTAAAAGGAGCTCAACATGAACAAAAAAGCATGAATGTTTTTCAAAACCTAGCATGAATACATACGCATAGGTAAATGTAAAGGTTGCCCTTGACATTTAGTCCAGTCGTGTCCGGCTCTAGGGCGCAGTGCTCATCCCCGTTTCCAAGCCACAGAGCCAGTGTTTTTGTCCAAAGACTGTTTACATGGTCAGGTGGCCAGCACGACTAGACACGGAACGCCGTGACCTTCCCACCGAGGTGGTCCCTATTTATTTACTCGCATTTACATGCTTTCGAACTGCTAGGTCGGCAGGAGCTGGGAGGAGTGTTGGGAGCTCCCTTCATCACATGGATTCAATCTTACAACTGATTGGTTTTCTGACTTTGCAGCACAGAGGCTTCTGTGGTTTAACCCGCAGCGCCACCACGTCCCTCACATATGCATACACACATGCAAAGATCTGGTTTTGTTTTGCAGCACAGAGGCTTCTGCGGCTTACCCCGCAGCGCCACCACGTCCATCACATATGAATTACACACACATGCAAAGATCTGGTTTTGTATTCCACAATTACTCATAATACCTTTTGCAGGTATATTCTTCCCACCAAAAAAAATCATAAAGGATCCTACATCAAAAGAAAGGAAGCTGAATTTTTTTAAAAAGAGATGAAACCACATATAAATGCATCTAAAAACCATTTCCTTCTAAAGGAGTCTCCTATGACATTTCCCTGCCTTCAGAAGGGAAAGGAAGAACTCATTACAGAGTGTCTGCCCAGAGTCTACACACCCTCTTTCCAACACATTTCATGATTAACTCATACCAGGATTACAAATGTGAAAACCTGAGACAAATATATCTAACACTGATTTATGAAACACTTGGGGCTCTCTAAGAGGACACATGGAAGGTAAATACAGTATCTTATCACAAATCACAAAAATAAGCAAATCTCACCATTTCACCCACTACAATAATTGACTACACAGAACAGAAAAATACACAAAATGCTCAACTAACACAGAACGTTAAGAAATCAACCACAACCAGTATACAGTCACAAGTAACTACACTGGCTTCTTTTCTGAGATTTACTCTGATAGAATCATATCATTGGGTGTCACTAACAATACTCTGGCCATTTCTTCAAAATATTAACCTCCTGGAAAGCTCTATTCCCAACACTCTCAATAAAAAAATTATTCCATCAGTTTCTTTCTTTCAGACATCTCCAGGGCATCTATTGCTCTGGAATTTAAGAAATCATTCAAGTAATGCTAGATTTCCAGTTCAGATCATAAAGAACGGGAAAGAACTTGCAGATACAATCAACAGAACTCCCTTAGCGAAGAGACAAGACTCGCTGGTTCGTGAAGAAGGGTTTTCCGGGTGACTTTCTAACTGATGTTCACATGATGGTCATGGCTGAATTTTCAAGGGAAAAGGGGAAAACATGGGCAAGAAAAGACGGCTTGAAAAGTAACCAGAAGAATATGGAAAACTTTATTCTGAACATGGTGTCTGCACCACTTGAGAGCACACACAGAATGTGCAGCTGAAGACTAGATAGTAGCTTTTATGATTACAGATATAGAGAACAGGCAGTTAATTAGAAAATGTCAGGAATTCTTTGCTCCCTCAGTGCACAACTTACTGACGGACTGACAACCTTTTCCCCTGCATAATATCAAGGAATTTACTTCTTACTTTTCTAAATGGACCTGGGACTTGAAAATCAGCTTAAATATAGATATTTATAAACATATGGCCACAACATGCATGGAACATTGAGATTCTACTCAAATTCCACACCATAATCTTGTCTTCTTTGTTTAGAACAGGGATGGCCAAGGGCCATAGTTTCAGCTTTGCCAGCTCAGCAAGCGGGAGGGGCTAAAAGGGAAGGGGATGAAGCCAAACAGGCTAATTAATATGTGGCTGTGTATTGTAAATGTTGCCACAATGAGCTTATGTTAACTGGAAAAGGGGATTTTAACTTTTTTTTTTACAAAAATGGCAATTTAATGAAACAAAACTTTTGTGTTCTCAAGTGACCATTTAAAAAATAATTTGGGGGTATGGGAGGCCCAGGAGAGATGACACAATGGCACATAATTTATTAAAAGGGCAGGGTGCAAAAATATTTTTTGGGAGGGGGTCATTTTGCACATTGCTCACTCATTTTAATACTGTTGAATATTCACCTTCATGCATATTACACAGACAAACAAAGAATCAAGCTCATGGATGACATGAATACATATACTCAGCCTCTCCTGACCTTTATTCCCTTGTAGCAGTCTTCAGATTTTTCTGCTGGAACAGTCTGTGTCTGTTCCAATATATCATTCTCCTTCTGCATTCTATGTAAGTTTACCTTTCATGCAATTCATATGAGTCATAAGCCATCATTTCATTCTTTCGCCACATCTCTCTCTCTCTTTTTGCTCCTTGAACTGCCCTACTGCTCATCTCTGCATGTCAACTGAAGCTGACCCAAATGCCCATCTTACTAATTTGCTACCAAAAAGGTTTTGCAGACTCTCTTCTGCCTCTTACAGGAGCAGGAATGAAACCGATTTCTAAGGCACTTCACCACGCTTCCTAAGAGCTACATCTACAACTGTGTAATGAATTGGTCCAGGAAAACTAGAATCCTTGGGTCACTTAACTCCTTGGGCTTGGAGTAACAAAACGATTCAAAAAAGCAACGATCACCTTATGCCAGGGATGTTGGTAAATCTTTGTGACCAATCCCCACCTCCGAGTGTGAGTCGTGGGATTCGAGTCCCAAAACCCAAACCCCAAGTCCGACTCTCCAAGTCCTCATTCCTGCCCACCCCCAAGGATTGGGACTCGGGACTCAGACTGCACATACACCAGCCAGCCGATAGGCCAACATATGTGCAGAGATAGCGAGCTGATGTCCATTCCTGAAACCCACAGGGACTCAACAACACTACCTGGACAAATGGGTCTATGTCGCAAGTCAAGTCCTGAGTCCCACCAGAAACCCCCAAGTCGAGTTACTGGTGCGACATGAGTTGGATTCACAGGCAAGTCACGAGTCGCAAATCCCCCTCCCTGTCTTAAGCGCCATGCTGCTGACAAGAAAGGATAAAAAATGTGTCACGTATTCCAAATCACATTGCTAATTATCAATAAATTTAGAAAAGAAAAGTAAATGGAAATAGGAATCACAACGTGCAATGATTAAGGAGAAACTCTATATGTCTCTTATGAAAACTGCTCTAAAGACAAAGTCTTCAAAGAAATGCTTTAAAGCAGCCTTTTCCATGCCCAGACCCCCAAGGGAACTGGACTACAATGCCCATCATCCCCAGTCACCATGGCCGATGTTTAAGGATGATCAGGATTGTACTACAACAGTAGCATCTGGAGAAGCTTGAGAAAGGGTGATTTATAAGGATGGACATGCAACAAAAATAAATACCGTATCTGACACATGCACATTGGAGCCTTTTCCACATATTTTGGCCACATTCATTTGCTACAATACCAACAACTTTTCTTGATCAGAATTCACATGTTTATGTCCATTGCAAAGTTCACAACTGTAACTTACAAAGAGTTGTTTTTGTTAATGCAGAAGGCAGCTTTCTTCAGCGGATAGTCTAGTAACTTTTCTAATGTGTGCAAACTGAAGATTAGCTAGAATTCAAAGTCACACCCAGTGTGAAAAACAAGCTGAAATGTTATGTGTGATCATGCTTGAACAGAGAAGCCTTATCAAACAAAACCTGATGCTTTTGAAGAAATTCTGTGGTTTGCAACTAATTTCTGTGATCACCAAAAATATACCTATAGCAATTCACTTTACAGATGTGTTAAATGTATTATCCAAATTTACCAGCTGACTGCGGTGTAGCTTAGTGTTTATTGCATGTTATAGCTGTACTATTTCAATGGTTGCATTGAAAAGAACCCATACACAATTAAAACCAGTTGTGAGGAAGAAGCAAAGCTGGACCTGGATTTCCTAAAACTAATAATAATCTTTGCACTTGAAAGCAAGTGAAGAGGACTGCTCTGGTGTGATACAGACCAGGCACAGGTGTTATTACCTAAGAGAGCTAGGTCTCAAAGCAAAGTTTCACCATATAACTAATCTTACCTGTATAGGCCATATTTTTAGGGTTTCCATAGGGAGCCCCAGGTTGAACAGGGCTGTAAACAGGATTCATTGTGGAAGACGTGAAAACTCTGAAAGACAAAGGAAAACCAAATGTGGAAAAACAGTTGGCCACATTCAAAAATAGACATTTGAAAAATAACAGCAAATTAGGGGTGGAAAACAGGGTTAGACTGGGTACAGAAAAGGACTTACCATCTAAGTTCTAAAAAAATCCTTTTAGAATTTGAATGTGAAACACAATTAAGTGAAAGAAAGCATAATAAGATGGGCAGTCATGCATTTTACAGCAGTATAGCCTCGAGGTTATGAATGACAGACAGTGCTGAAGTTCTGTTTCATCAAGCAAAAGGCACAGCTGGCTTATCAGCTGAAACGTTTTTTAAAAACTGCTCCTTGCCCTCCACACATCCAGTAGAGGTGTGAGATCACAGAGTACCCGAAACTACAGGTCTAATCTTTCAAAGGATTATTGATGCCCATCCTATGATTTCCAAAACCCAGCACCAGATTACATTTCAGCTTTTCATGACCCTTCCTGTCCATTCCAGTCCTTTCTGGGCTTCCACTGTCTCCCTAGAAGGAGACGCACAAATAAGTCCAGGTGGCCCCATAGCTCTAAACTCCGGATCACATTCTATTGTGGTCGCAAGACCAGATAGGCAGGATATAAGAATGAAAAAAAAGCAAAGCGTGCTGCTTATATACCGCCCCATAGCGCTTCAAGCACTCTCTGGGCGGTTTACAATTTAATTATGCAGGCTACACATTGTCCCCCCCCAGCAAGCTGGGTACTCATTTTACCGACCTCGGAAGGATAGCAGGCTGAGTCAACCTTGAGCCGGCTACCTGGGATTTGAACCCCAGGTCGTGAGCACAGTTTTAGCTGCAGTACAGCGATTTAACCACTGCGCCACGAGGCTGAATGAATGAATGAATGAATGAATGAATAAATAAATAAATAAATGTTGGTGGTGATACAGCCACATCTTAAATATCCCCTACAGCTTGAAAAAAATCTACTAAGGGCCATCATAGGTTGGATGCGGCTTTATAGCACATCATTCTATCCATGAATTTTAACTGCCAAGTTCAACAAAAGATCAATCAAGAAGGAGTCGGTATCCATGTGAAAAATTTCAAACAAAACCGGAAAAGTAGAAGTATAACATAATCT